ATTTTAAATATAACTTGGAGAAGACAGACATACTGTCGAAATATTGTTGAACATTGTCAAACACTGTGTCTTTTTTCTTTTGTCTATTCTTAATAACTAGTGTACCCGTGTTGTCAAGATTAACGGCAAGAATTATAAGTACAGTGTAACCCGGAGATAAGAGAGTTGTCGGGACCAGAGAAAATCTCTCTTATATCCGGGTTTCTCTTATATCCGGGTTACACTGTAATATGTATTACATTGTAAGTAATTTTCGTTTAATCCAAGTACAATTTTGTAATTTAAAATAGTTCGTAGTTAGCGTTAATAATTGAACAGTGTACAATTTATAAACACTTCAGGAAAAATATCCGTACATTATCCCCATAAATTTGACATATTTACAAGCAAAATTATGTTTATTGTAAAAGTTCCCAATGTACAATATTTTTTTTTTGTGTAAACTTTGGAAGGTCTTAGTAATCATTGACAGTCCGTAGATTCTATCTGTAATTTCAGTGTCTGCTTATTTCTCGTCCTACTAAGAGCAACATATCATTAGATATTGTTTTTTAATTTATTTATTTTTTCTCAGGCTATTACCAGATTCCAGAAGATATGCTACGAATTGTAACATACAATAATTAACAACAAAAATTAAGACTCAGTATCATCCAACCCACCTTTTCGCAAAAAAAATTATCATCGTATGATCTGGATTTGCGAAGATATTCTAAAATTAAAAATACGTAATAATTGCATTAGAATCCATTTTTAGCCATGTAAGCGTTTCGAAATTCTCAGAATTAAAAAGTAAAAACGAACGGGAATGATAATTATTCCCGTTCGTTTTTACTTTTTTTTTAATTTCGGAACGTTATGTGTATTTTTTAAATTTTCTATTCTCTTGAATTTATTTCCGTACTTTTTTTGTGTAATTATCTTAACTTTTATTATTCCTTCATTATTGCAGATTTTAAAAGCGAAATGTAATACCTATTCTTTTTAATTTACAAAAACAAATTTCAAATAGAATATCTTGAATTAGTCCAGGCCGGGCCGGTGCAAAGGTCTCCGCCCCAACCCGAAACTATGAAAATGTTGAATTCGCTTTCTTCGAATGTTCTCAACCTAAAACTCACTCGTCACAACCCGCAACAAAGTAAACACTGGCGTTAACATCAGCTTCGAACACAAAACTAGGTAGACATTTTTTAGCCATTTTGCGCTCGCGCGCGCACGTGCGGGTGTGTGTGTGTGTGTGTGTGTGTGCGCGCGTTTGTGTGTAGAGGGGTGGTGGTTCTTATATGTTATTGTTTAGTGGTGGTTATAAGATACTATTTTCAAATAATAATAAAAAAAAAATAATAAGAAAGATGTGAACTGCAGACGATAACCAAGAAAAAGACAGAGAGTCGTATTAATTTGAATAAAAGAACAAAAAACAAATAGCCTTTCCTCAAATGTCGAGAAGATAATAATTAAAGATGACTTTTTAACGGCCGGATATAAAAAAAAAACACCAAAACTAGACAAAAATATATGTTTGTTTGCGTACTTACTCTTCTTCTAAGTTTCTGTGCATTGTCAATGGCGAGGCCGAACGATACAGTAATCAATTGTCAGATGACAAGAACTTTTGCTTGTAGTGGTCAGAATAGACAAAGCACATACCAGACAAGGGAGATATGGCCGGGGCGGACATGAATGGCGGGACATGTTTTAGCCGAAGAGAAGGAGAAATGGAATGATACGCTCAACTAACCCGATGTCGATCCGATCACAGGTGTCCGTCCACACACACACACACACACACACACACGATGATCAAGCTTTTCTCACGGAAAAATTATCCGCTAGTACAGAGAGTTCTATCTTCGGGTGTGTTCAACTATTGCTGCTATAGGAAGCTAGGACCCAACGTGCCACGAACGTGGCATCAAATCATTCGTATTTCCTTTGTATTCCTTTAGTAAAAAGGAAGTGCTACTTAGATTCATTATTTCGTATACACAATGAGCAATTGATTGGCTCTTAAAAAACAGAGAGGACAAAAAAAGAACAGAACTCAAATAGAAGATGCCGACTGACATTGCATTTAAATTTGTGAATATCGTAGTTGATAGGATTAGAACTCGGATCGTATCGTTAAAACAATTAACTTCTTAACTACTCGATAATTGCTTCAACTATTTTTCACACGATACAAGACCCAAGAGCCACTGAAGGTAGAGAATTACAGAAAGGGATGATGAGAGACGAAGACGTGCATATTTATAAGGATATGTAAGATAGATGTGGTGTAATGGTTATCGGCTCGGAGTGAGAACTCGGAGAGCCAAGTTCGAATCCCAGTCTTTAGATTCACTTACGCGGAAATATGAAAGGTATAAATCCATCTCTTCTCTCCCCAGCTAATAGCAGGATTTACTGTGTCCTTTAGCCTTAGTTGGCAACCAGCCTACTGCAGAAAGAAATGGCAACCTACTGCCTCATTATGTATCGAAAGATATATGATCGCCCAAGCGTGTATCACGTATGGCACTTAACTGGTTGAAGATAGATATTTGTTGACTTGAACAGGTTAAGATTGTGGACCACTCTGAAATCAAAACTAGTTGGACTTTATATATATATATATGAGACACGGTAGAGGAATGGATAGTGGCTCGGATTGAGGAATCGGAGCTCGAATTCCAGCCGAATTCATTACATTCAGTTACGTGCTAATACCCTTGAGAAAGGCATGAATCTTGTTCTTCTCCCCCCCCCACCAGCCATGGGTAAATAGCAAGACAGACTGGGTTCTATAGCTTTGGATGGCAACTGGTCTGAGGGGGACAACTCTGAATTCAAAACCTGTGGAGGGTCGTTTAGGGACCTTGTGGCACGTAGTGCACCAGGTCTCTGTATTCGGCCTATCAAAAACCGTGGTTGGTTCTGCACAAAGCCTTCACAACTATAATCAAAATCATATGCGCTGGTGTCTGACTGTCGGTTTCCTAGGAACTGAGTTGCTTGACTCTCATACGTCAATAAAACGACGAGAGAGTCCAGCATATATATATATATATATATATATATATATATATATATATATATATATGTGTGTGTGTGTGTGTGTGTGTGTGTAAAACATCAAGCAATGTTTAAATTTTGGATTATTTTTTGCGAATTTTAAGCCTAGCTATATATTAAAAATATATTTAAATTTAATTTTTAAAATTTATTGCAAATTTAAATGTTCTTTGTTAGAAATATGTTTTATTAAATAATATATACAAAATTTAAAATATTTTTCTCTAATCGACCAATTAATTCCAGTATATCGGTAGGAAAATTATGAAAAAAAACAAAGAAACAAACTGACCTTAGTTTGTTTAATAAAACATCTCGTATTTTCAACTGACTTCTGTCATTGTCAAGAATTAACGTCTTGTATTGATTCTGTCCCTTTGTTTTAAATAAGATGTTTCCGGTTTAGGATTGGGTTTCCGGTTCGTTCTAAAGTGTTCCCATTCTTTTTTACTCCCAGTATTTCCTTGAGTCTTAGTGGCTTTATCGCCTGGCTCGGTGTGAACTGATTAAATAAAAACATACATTATATATGTTTTATGTATTTAACATCACGTAAACGTGATATTGTTTTGTTTTATTTATTTTGTGATGTCACGCGAACGCAGCGTTTTATGGTGCCTGAGAATTTAACAAAAATACGTAATGCGTGTTGGCGGAAAAGGTAATGCTTTTTCCGGTTGTCAACTGTTAAAAGTTAGCAACTTCTTATTTAAAACTTTGTAAATGTCATCAGTTGCATACAAAGATTTTACCACATGGATATTTAATATTAAAAGACGTGTGAAAAAAAAAATGAAATGCAGGAATTATTGATTCGAGACGTTGATAGTTATAACACTCCAAGAAACCAAAATCAAAGAAGGACTTGATATCAATATCGGAGTTAGGCAGCATAAGTTAGAACCTTCGGAAACAGTAAATGTTATGGAATCGTTTTGGCATCAATTCCAAATGGAAGTATAACGTTCATTGACACTGGACGAACAAGCATAGTATATACATTGAACAACTACATTAAAACAACTATTATAATAAAAGTTTGGAAGACCTGCAGCACTTTTGTGTGTTAGCACAGCACACAAAAGTTTAGAGAGGAGTGATAAAAGATATTTGTTAAGTTAATGAACACTAGGTTAAAGCATTGAAACTAGCTCATGCGGAAGACTCTTGATCGGACTTTCGACTTATTCGGGAGTTTGAGAATCCCTAAGTCTTTGTATATTCTCAGCATTGGAAGCTCTCCTGGCTACCGTTTGACCTGGGTTTTCATTTGCACAGGGTTTTCTTTTCTTTGCCGTAACCTTGGCTCTTTTGATTGCAATCGCTGGATTTCGCAATTAATTTCGATTATTCTCAAATCTATTTTCAAGTTATAAAAATTGCTATCGTACAAAAAATACATCACGTAAAAAATCGCCGAAAACAATCTCAGTAATGAAAACTTAGGAGTCCAAAATTTCTGTTAACATGAGCTATTGAAAGTTAGAGAGCTATGCCCCTTTAATTGAAAAAATAGTGACACACTGACATTCGCATTTATTATATCGATGAGAAATCCTACTGATTTGTGCCTTCAAGTCAAAATGATGATGAAGGCGCGTCTATGAATACTAAAATGACTAACAACAGAATAAAAATAAGTATATTTGACGGAGAAAGTAATGACCTATTCGGTTATTAGCCTTTAAAAATGGTAACTTCGTATTTCAAATTTTGTAAAAGCGTCCAAAAGGATGTAAAGATTTTACCATCAGGACTTTTAATGTTAGAGGACTTGTGGAAAAAAAAAAGAAAAGAAAAGAAAGAAAAGCAACAATTATTGGCTCTGGACAAGTCGAAACACCTCTCTTGATTTGATAAACAGAACCATTATCATTAATTTATCATTCAAGCAGCCATGACAAAATCAATAAAGTAAACAGACAACTGAACCATTGCAGGACTTACGGTCATATTTGGTTGAAACACCGGTTCTCGTATGATCCCCGAAGTTAATCAACGTCGAGCCTAAGTAGATGGCCACTTGGGAATACCAGGTGTTGTAAACTTGGCTGAGCTGATTGTGTAATGGATAACGACTCGGTATTGGAAATCGGTGAGACGAGTTCTAATTCCAATCGGGTTCGTTATATTCATTTACGCGCAAGAAACCTTGGGAAAGGAATGAATCCACCTCTTTCCCACATCTATGGGTTAATTAGTAAAACTAAACCATTATTACCTCTAAAGATTTTTTTACCACCAAAAAACATTTTCCAGCTTTAAATAACATGCAAAGAATTGATAATTTTACCCAAGCAAGATAAAGTTACTAAGGGGTTTACTGAGTGTGAATGAATATGAGAAAAATAAAATAAAAGATATTATTAAGGAAAGAGAAGAATAAAAGAACCGGAATTAAGAAGAGAGAAGATAACGATTGACATTGAATTGAGATTTTTAAAAATCAAAGATGACATGAAAGACACCGGAAAAGAGTTCTACAAGCGAGAAGTGCGTGTGAAGAAACTATTAGCATAGAATTTACGGTTACCGCTAGCAATTCCAAGTGTAAAATGATGAAACCTTGCTGTCAATCTAGTACTGTGTTTAAATTCGTAAAGTACCAAATGGGAAACCTCATTAGAACAATTACCATGAAAATATTTATAAAACGAAAAGAGACACCGGGAGATTACGTTATGGTGGTGAGAAAATATATGGACAAATTGTAGACTTATAAATGAAATGAAATATGAATTTGTTAATGTGTTCATCTGCAATAATTTCTATGTAGCAAACAGGACTGTCCTTTCGTTGATATTGAGCCAATCGGCAAATTCAACGATTTGATACATTTTCTTTTAGATTTGGGCGGAAATAGCTGAAAAATAGATTTTCGCTGGAAATTTTTGCACAATCCTGGAAAGAAAGAAGGAAAATATAAAGAATTAAAGGAAAAAAGAAATGAATAGAAAGTAATATGAAAAGAAAGTAAAAAGAAAAGAAAGTAAAATAAAAAAAACAAAGAAGAAAAGAAAGGGGAGAAAGAGAAAAAGAAAGGAGAGAAAGAGAAAAAGAAAGGGGAGAAAGAAAAGGAAGGAGAGAAAGAAAAAAGAAAGGGGAGAAAGAAAAGGAAGGAGAGAAAGAAAAAAGAAAGGGGAGAAAGAAAAGGAAGGGGAGAAGGAAAAGGAAGGGGAGAAGGAAAAGAAAGGGGAGAAGGAAAAGAAAGGGGAGAAGGAAAAAAGAAAGGGGAGAAGGAAAAAAGAAAGGGGAGAAGGAAAAGGAAAGGGAAAAAGAAAGGAAGAAGGAAAAGGAAAGGAAAAGGAAAGGAAGAAAGAAAAGGAAAGGAAAAGGAAAGGAAGAAAGAAAAGGAAAGGGAAAAAAGAAAAGGAAAGGGAAAAAAGAAAAGGAAAGGAAGAAGGAAAAGTAAAATTGTTGGTTGATGAACGACAACACAAAAGCTGTTGTCTGTCTGTTGATGACTGTGCCGACCCTTTAATCAATAAATCGACTATTGAGTGTGGGGGAAAGAGCGGCGGAAGAAGTCATTTTTCTCCCACACCACAGGCACCCATTTTCTCACGCCTGATTGATCCTTTTGTTCGTTTTGGTAAAGGCGTACAGAAAAAAACGTGCTAAAGAGGAAAACAATTTCATGGCAGCCAAGAGATATTCCATGACAACAAGTTGAGATGACAGTCATCTAGTCCTTTCGCTTATATCTGACTTCGGTAATAAATTACGCACTGAACAAAGAACAAACATGAAAGAAAAGATAACTACACTATATTGTTCGGACTGTTGTTCTCATCATTGTTGTCATATCTGTGACGTTTCGGTCGTTGTACGCTTCGGCCTTCTTCGGGTGACTGGAATTTTGAACCGAACCCATTATTTCGTCCACCGGGGTAGATTGTTCTAGTTCCACGTGCCATGCCTTTTCTGGATATCTCAGTTTTTAGTTATTCCCCTTTAGTAACTCAACTCTCCAAGATTTTGTTCACCTCTGCTGTGGCCATGGATTGAACTCACAACTTTTTCACGGGATTACTTCAACTAATGCTTTTATTCCCAAGCATACATGGCCCAATGGATAAAAGAGTTGGTTGAAGTAATCCAGTGACTTGACACAAAGAGTTTTGAGTTCAATACCTGGCCACAGCAGAGGTGATCAAAAACTTGGAGAGTTACTAAAGGGAAATAACTGAAAACTGAGATATCCAGAAAAGACATGGTACGTGAAACTAGAACAATCTACGTCGGACGAAATAAAGGGTTCGGTTCGAAATTCCAATCAGCTGAAGAAAGCCGGAGCGTGCAACGGTCGAAACATCGTAGATATGAGAATAAAGATGAGGACAACAGTCCGAACAATATACATATTTACAATACCTCACCTCAGAAATATAGACAAATCCTGAAGAAGGTTGGAGCGTACAACTGCCGAAACATGAAATGCAATAATCAGGTTCAATGGAATTAAGAAAAAAGAAACAATTAGGAATTAGACTCGTCTCGCGTTTGTCGTTACATGACATTACGAGCGTGTAGTTTTAACTACATTCATGAAAAAACAATTCTGTGTTTGCCGTTAGATAGCTTTTTTTTATAACCAACATATACAAAGATCCCGACGAGAATCGAATACCCGGTTAACCCAAAATTAAGTTAGTGTCTACTTTCTGTATGTGCATACATATGTGTTTCTGCAGGATAATAGCAATTTTAATATTAGCTGTTTCCTTATAAGGAAACATTTGGCATTCCATGACCGAGCAGCCAGAACTACCATCGGTTGAAATTATAAAATCTTTCTCTTAAAACAATTTTAAAGGAAAATAAGTCTCGCAAGCCCAATAGCTGTTATCGCCCTTTCCAGTATTGACGGGGATTTACATGCGTGTTTCTGCAGGATAATAATTGCTGTAACCTAGAAACGGTTACTGAATGATGAATAACCAAAACGGAAGTTGGAAATGAAATGGTAATCTTTATAACATCAACAAAATACAATATTCGTCAGCGGCGTTAAGTAGGTAAACCACAGCTAGTGGTGGACAACTTAGACAGCATATTACGATATTACTGGCATGAACGTAACTACACAAATTTGTCACTTTCGAATAAACACCCGGGTCTCTTGCTATATATTTAGCGATTCTTGATAAAATCCAAAGAATCGACAATATTATTGGTGTCTCGGTTTCAGTCACTTTCCCACCCGGAAAAAGTTGCTTCTCTGTGCCTTTTCAATTAATAATAGCATGGTAATTGTTCGGATGAGTCCTGCGGTATGATACATAAACTTTATGAATTTAAGCTCAGTATTAGATTAGAAACAAGGTCCCGTCATTTACAGTTGAAATGGCGATATGTAACTTTAAGTTCTGTGCTAACAGTTTCTTCTCTCGCTCTTCCCGCTTGTAAAACACTCTTCTGGATCCATACTTTCTAGCCAAAATTGATCTTCCAAAATATAAAGTGACGAGGTCTCATCAATTAACAGTTTAGCTAGATGTAACCGCAAGTCCTATGCTAACAGTTTCTTTTCTCACTTGTGGAACTCTCTTCCAGCTCCATGCTTCCCAGCCAACTTTGATATTCAAACATTTAAATGCAATGTTAATTGTTATCTACTGTCTTTCTGATTACTCTTTTATTGCTCTCGATCCATAGTTTCTGTTTTCTGATTATGTCACACTGAGCAACCCCTTGCATCTTAGTGGCTTTACTACCTTCTTTGAGGTGAATACTGTCTTCCTAATTATACTTCTATTGCTCTCGATCCATAGTTTCTGTTTTCTAATTATTTCGCACTCAGTAACCCCTTGCATCGTAGTAGCTTTACTGCCTTCTTTGGGGTGAATTCGATTTAAAAAAAACAAAAAAAAAAAAGAACAAAAAAAACAAAGAAACAAAAAAAAAAACATAACTTCTAAATGATGTCAAGAATTAAGAGAAAATTATGCCAAATGTTACAATTATTATAGGACAGATTGTACTTTTTGAACATCTATAAATAAGTGGGAAGTAAACTTCAAGAAATATACGGAAAAGCTTTGCCTTATTCGCACGTGTATTTTCCGAGAATCCATACAGGAACGTAGATACCACTTCCTCAAACGAAAGAGGAACCTAAACCAGTAACCAACTAGGAGAATAATAAATAAATAACAGTGAAACCGGAACGAAAAAACAAATTAAATTATATCCTGACATAATAGATTGTCGGGTGGGGTTGTGATGGTCTGGGTCTTTCGGTGCAGTGTTTCAATGGCGATTACTTGACGATGGCTATTTCCTCCCCAATTGATACGTGACAGACTGTACCGAGTTAGGTGTCATCGGCAGCAGAGAGAAATCCTAAACAGGAACAAGTTTAATGTTAATGACTTCAAATCGATTATTTACACACTGACTTACTCGAACTGGTTGTCATAATTACGTTTCGGCCAATGTATCATGCAGCCTTCTTCCGAATACGACGGACGCCTGAAAAGTTCTCGGAAATTCCGATTCTAGGGGCGATAACTACAAATTCTTCTTAGTCCTTTTGTCCTCGTGACGCCGCTGTTGGTCGTTCCACGGAATCAGAGCATATGATATTGGACCAAGCCTAGGACTTGTGCTCATAATCGTACACTTAACCAGCACTTATATATTCACCATTACAAAATAAGATAAATAACGTCCTCAGTAGACCTAGCATAGAATTAAGCACCATATAAATAAAACCTTTGATGAGGAAAAAGTATTATGTTTAAAATTCCCAAAATAGCACAAGTAACAATAAATCAGTGTATACTGACAATAATTTATTATAAATTTAGACAGAAATATTAAAATCAATAAAAATGTCAGGATATAAATAAATAAATAAAAATAAATAAGCAAGAAAAAATCTTTCCTGCCACTGAATATTATCCCCCCGCCAACGCAAATAAGTTTTGAAAATTTATGTCGCATCCTGCAGGCAGCAGGTTACGTTTTTTTTTTTTTTTTTTTTTAGTTAACTTTTTTTTAAAAATTTGCAAGTCAATAGTAAGAGGGGGCGTCTTCGATG